GCTGGTCACAGAATTTTTGTTGATGTACGTTTTTTGCCGAGTTTTACATTTTATAACCAGAGCAAATATGCGTTACATTGACTAATAATGGGCCTGTTGCAAACTTTTGCTAGAGCAAAAATAAGAGTTGTTTCCTATAGATAATGCCTCAAAAATCACAATGAGCGCATCGGAAAACTCTGAAATGCACTCATAACTTCACAATCTGCGTAAGAAATTTGCGTTTTTTTGAGCTTCCCGCTTCAAAAACGATACTACGGCATAGGTGAACATTTTGTTAGAAGAGTCGCTCCATCGTCGGCAATATTCATTATGGCCCATTATTCATAAATTTTTAAATACGAAATTCATTCAGCACTACCAACACACTCTGTAACAACACAATATGGATCACAGCTAGATGTTATTTTCACAAATTTATCAAATTATAATGCTCAAACTTCTTACACTGAATTCAGTGACCATTCACCTGTATATATGCAAATATAAAAATAAAAAAAAAAAATAAATAAATAAATAAATAAACTGAGTTTGTTGTTTATTTTATTTATTTTTTTATTTGCATATATACAGGTGGACGTGCATTATAATTTGATAAATTTGTGGAAACAACATCTAGCTGAATAAGGCATCAAAAGTGTCAGGAACTGTGTTAGATAGTAATCAGAAACACCATGCCCCATGTAAATCCACTAATAAAATTTATTGCCAATAATTGTCCTAGTTCATCTTTCCCTGTCAACTTTACAATAAATTTCGTTGTACCATTTTTCTATTGTATTTTGTCTTATCTCACTCTTATCTTCTGTTTTATTAATGATTCAGTTTATTTATTGCGGTGTGAAAAATTTGTCATGTTAATAGTTTCACGAAGGCGAGCTCTCCAACACAGTAGTGTTGGAACCAGCAGCTTGTTTTTTCTTGGTGGTGAGCCTTTGAACTAGGGTCTGAGCTTTTTTTTGACGCCTGTTTGTCTTCTGTTTTTTTAGCGGAAAGGAACGGATACAAATTATATACAAATATAAACTGTAAAAAAATAGTAATATTACATCGTAATACAGTTAAACTAAAGTCTTATCTATTGATTAACACTGAATGATCTGTTCACAACTTGTTGTCAGCCTTCTGCTGACACACCGGAACCGCCCTCTGGCATTGCATCGGTGGATTTCTTGAATTCTAGATTCTTAATTTTCAATATTGTCGTTATCATTTCCTCTATATGTTTCCAACTCTCTTTACTTTCTATCATTAGTTTAGTAATTTTAAATGCTTATAACTCCATTTATTCAAAACTTCAAGGTTCTAAAAGTGGTTCCATCGGTTTCCTCGTGAAATTTTCTCACAGAAGCATCCCTTGACCTTTAAAATTCGACGAATTAAACACCAAAATTTGCAGTTTTAGTTAACAATTTCATGTTCGACCTCTCTAATTGACTCAATCCACTGTGCGTCGTTGGTACCTTTGCAGCCAGCAACGAATTGAGAATTGCGCATGAAGAGTGGCTGCAGGCGTCATCACAAAAAGAGCATTGAAAGCGAAGGGGAAAAAAGGAGAAAAAGAGGGAAATAAATGAAGAACAAGATTAAGTGGGCGAAAATTTCAAATAGGGGACATTTTAGGGTGGAATAAGTCGAACAATTGAGTCCATCATTCTCCCTGGAAGTTGTGTTCTCTCAGTTCTGGATGGTTTCTGGTATCTAAAAACGTACATGGCCCCAATTTTTTTTCTAAAGTTTTCCGTATTTAAATTTGAGCTATTTGTGACGGACTCGAGTTTTGAAACGATAACGCAACACCTGCCGCCATCCTTGGAAACGAAACAAAATGAGTACCAGATATCTAGATCGACTGATACCCTTCAACAAATGGCATGCACGATTTAAAAAGAAAGTCTACTGGTACCTAGATATTGTCCTTTTATACTTCGCCTTCAATTTCGCTGCATAGGCAACACACACTCTGGAGAGCGGGAATAGTGGCCTACTCAAAAAGACACTTTTCAATCGCTCCATTGGCCTCGATTGAACCGATTAACTCTAATTTTCATTTTTATTGTTGCAGGGAAGCAAGTCGTTAAAATATATCGATGCGTTAAAGGTTGATCAACCCTCTCTTTATTTCGGTTCATTCCTCTCCACTTCCCTATGGGTTTTCACACGGAATTTTATTCTTCCATTACGCATCATACCATGGTTAGTATTGGAAATACCTCTATAACTAAGATTTTTGTTTTTCTAATAGGTCAGTTGCACTGATCATAGAATCGTGTTTCGATGCTTAATTCTTGAAGAACAGCTAAAAATAATATAAAATCTGTCGAAGTAGCAACTTTCGACGGTCAACATTAACCGAGATATCGCGCTTTGAAAAGTTCGGTTTATGACGTCATCCAACGCGGTAATGACACCCTTCATTCCTTCCACCTTGCTGTCATCAGTCACGGAACCACACATTTGCAGTGATTACTCAAAGTGGAACTCGGATGAAAGCAAGGGGGAAGAAATCAAGGGTGTTAGTACCGCGGTGGATGACGTCATAAACCGAATTTTTCAAATCGCGATATCTCGGTTAACATTGAACGTAAAAAGTTGCTGTTTCAATGGATCCTATCATTTTTAGCTAATCCACAAGAATCAAACATCAAAACATGATTGAGTGACCAGAGCAACTGCATCAAAATCGTAGCTCTTTTTTATAAAATCCTTAATTCTAGTACCATCATTCGATAAGAGAAAGCTCTCTTCGTTTAAGGCATATTTGTTCTCTTTTATATCAAGGTGAACGTAAGTTGCTTTGAACGCCTGTCGGTAGCATCGAGCTTTCAGTTTATACATATATACACTTCGATGTAGTTCTGTCAAACGGAACTATGCGTATTATGACGTGAGCCCTGTTATGCATGTATTCTTATGGGTCTTAGGGCTCATGTCTCAATGCACATAGCTCCGTTCGACAGACATACGGCCGCTTGTAGAACATATTGCACGTTATCAGATTGTGCCGCATGGTTATTCTGAGCGTTACCTTCCTACGCCTAAACTTACATGCCACCAATTTAATTTATTTTTCCTCGCCCCTTTTATTTTTTGCAAATGTCTATTGATCTTTATTTATCACCTATTTAAGGTTTCAATGACTCGTGGATTGTTAAAGCACTCGAAAATGAAAGTATTTACCAACCTACCACACTAGGCGAGAGGTAACTTAAAAATATCCAGAAATTTCAAAATAATAGAGGTAATAGGGGCTAATATCTAAAGGAAGTCTTCTTATTCGGACTCTCACTTTTAATTATAACGATGTCATGAAGCAATGATGAGCTATTCCAATCAGATTACCATACAAGGAAAAAGCGCTTATATAATTTTTGATCGAGAATTGTATGATTTGTTCCAGTGTTTACTATCATGCACCATGTTCCATACCTGAAACATTTCCTCTCTCGTGCTTGCATGGGCCGTGTGACATCAGGTTAGTATAAATAATTCAAAGTCTCTAAATAAGATACAACGATATCCTGAGTGGACAAACTGGGTCTACTGGCGGTTAAATCGATGACTGTGAATCGTATAAAAGGTTTCACATAACCTTATTTCCATGAAAGGTGAAACGGAAAAAATGAACAATTTGAACGTGGAACAATATAAAAAATACTCTATCGTAACATGCTTATCATTGTGAACATACGAGAGAAAAAAAAATATGCGGAACGTATCCGGTGAGTATTCACTTGACGCTGTAACTCTAGCGCGCAATCCGTAAGTGTTTCCGGTGATCTGCAGCTATACTGCAACCGAAGGGTCGAGGGAATATCTACGAAAATTTATATCGGTATATATCGTCGTAGGTCATTTTTTAAGACAGCGTTTGTTGTAATTCGGAGGTATCATTGGATTAGCGACCTTTGTCTGCCTCCTATTATCACCAACTTTAGAACTTCACTGCGGTAGAACACTCCAGCACCGATTGAACCGCTACCGGGCTTCGAGATCAGAGAGAAAAGCTCGGTCTGATTCTAAAAAAAATGTCCACTCTAAAGTGAGACACTAAAATGACAGCAACACCCCCAGACTTTTACCCATCTTCCGAAAATTATTCATAAGCATATTTACCTACGAACTATCTTTGCCGGCCAGGTTGGCCTAGTGGTCAGCGCGTCTGACTCTAGGTCAATAGGTCCCGGGTTCGAATCCCGGTGGTGGCGTCTAATTTTCACGGAATTGACGAGTAGATCTGCTGAAACAGATTCTCCTCGGCCCTAATCCCTGAAAATTAGAAAAGCCTGGAGCATGGAGCCTGATGTCTACGGACACTAAACATTGTCTAAANAAAAAAAAAAAAAAAAAAAAAAAACTATCTTTATAGCCCGCCTGAAAATAATTCCTTTATTCTTATTCTTTCTCTTTCGTGCTGATGGTTTATACATTCTACTTATGATTCATAAGCTGATGTGTTGGTTCACGTTTTGCAGCTCCTTTAGGTTTAATTTGTGCCACGTCATTTTGATTCTACTGGGAGGCATGAGCACCCTGCATCTTTATTGGACCTACATCATCTTGAAAATCAATTATACAGCATTTTTTGCTGGAAAAGTAAGTTCAAAATTAAGTACAAAGCCACCAGGTGGCTTTGTACTTCTTCACTCATAGGCATGCAATTTCTCGGCTGTTTTGTTTATTGGCTCAAATCGTTGAAGTAGCGCAATAAAATATTATTTTATTTCCACAGCTACGTGCTACGATCACACACTTTTATTATGTTGTAAAATGTGGAAGCTCTCATGTATTAGAAAACTCAATCCTTCTATAGAACGAAATAAGGGAATTTGAAGATTCCTCTGATGGAAATTGTCAAAGGACTTTAGCGAAAAATTGAACTATCGGTGGTTTTTGATTTGAGCCAGCCTCAAAGTATCGCTCAAAATCAGATTAAAAAATTGAAATAATCAGAAGCCAAATTTTAAATCTACCACAATAATTTTAACTTTCTCATTTAAGATCATAAAGTGGTTCGAAATTTTTCAAGACTTAAACCAGTTTATCTCCATATCACACGAATCGACGGCGTAAGACCGCAACCTATATATCTAGTTTGCGGTGTTTGAAACTCTCATCTCCTATTTCAGTTTTTTGAAGAAAAGCAAACCGACATTATTCCGTGAAGTTTTCGCAGAAGTTTCTTTGCAAACAGAACATAAATTCCAGTAGTTTCCAAAAAATGTCGTTGAATAGTCTTCCATTTAAAAAATAAAGTAGGACAGGAAATCTGCAACGTCGCAAACCGGGATCCGAGGTTGCGGACATACACCGTCAAAATGTTACTTAAAATGTATTTACACCTTGCATTGTATTTGTAAGCTACAATAGTAGTCACCTAAATTTTAAAACTCTTTAAACAATTTAATTTAAGAATTTAAGGTTTCCTGGTCCTTAACGTTAATAGCCTGATTGCTGATCGTCGAAAATTAAGTAACCAAACTAACTAAATTGTCGATAATGTTACGAAAATACGATATGATATCAAAGATCTGAAAACAACTGCACGATTGGCATCGCATTTCAACCTAGAATACGAACCTGCAATATGCAATATGCATTATTATTCCGTCTTCGATGAAGTCATTAATATGATATTGTAAGACGTTGCTTATAGTGTTGAACGAAACTTCAGAGGTGGCCACTTTTTTCAACCCCTTTAACTAATCCGCATGGCGGATCCAGAAAGTTAACAACATCGTTTTCCTTCATTTAAACCTTTGGAAACGATTCGATTCTCGAAGGTGCCAAGGATCGATTTTTCAACTTGGGTTTAAATTGAGAAAAATAGCATTTCTAATACAGAAGAATTACTAGATCCGCTTTTGCAACATATATATTTCACGGATACTATCTTTTTTTTTCAGATAATAGATGACACACTCGCGGTGTCGGATGATGACGAAGACGACTCGGCAAAGAAAATCACCCCTAAAAAAGAGAGCTGGTCCGTCAGAACTAACGGCTAAATGAATAACGTCATTTGATGCAGATTTTTATTCCTTGGATTGGAACCGGAGGACTGAAAAAAAAAAAAACCAAACATCAGGCTACTGTATTATTTATATCATGGAATGTTTATCGTAAGCTTTACTCCCACCCCTCATGTAACCGCTTTCCTTAGAGGATTGTTCATTTTCTTTCCTATGTTCTGAAAAAAATGGCGCCTGGGTGCATTCATTTTAAAGCGATGATGTGAAGGATCAAACACGATCTCTAATTTTGATGCCTATAGCAGTGGTGAGGCGTGAAAAATCGATTATCGATATTCCCTAATTTGAAGCTGCGGTAACAAATCGATTATTAAGGTGTTCGTTGCGAACATCCTGTTTATCAATCCAATTCCATGAGTTTAAATGGCCGATCAGTCCATATATCGCAAAGTACGCCACGCCATTCACTTATAGGTTTTATGAAAGTGTAAGTTGAAGGGTGGCTCTCCAGCAATTGGATAGAGTTTATAGTGGCATGTATGATAATCAGTAAATTAAAAAAAAAACCGAAGTAATAGAATAGAATAGAATGCTGGAGGGTTTTCTTGATAATGAGCATTCGAGAATATATTTAGTTTGATGCACCAGGCATGAGGTCTACCGCAGAACCGCAGCCTGACGAACAAAATCAGTAAACTTTAGATTTTTCAATGAAGCTTGTTAAAGCGGGTCACATATAGGTATTCCAATTTTCCTTTACTTGTAAAAATGCAAGCTAAGCATGGACCCATTCATTTCTATTTGTCCCCAGAAAGTGTGCACTAATTTTTTCATTTTAGTAACGTTTTTAGTAAAACTGGAAAAATGTATAATGTCCTATTTATTTCCTCGTATGTTGTATATATTTGTAAAGATAAATCGTCAAAAATATGTGTTGTTCTTTTCACCCAAAGTCCTGCGTCGTTACTTAATGCAAAATTTAATAAAAAGAAAGACATTTTAAGTATCTTTTTTTCAAATTTAACGAATACTAACGCCTACCCTTTTCATTGATAAGTATCAGTTGCGTTATTTATTTTAAAATCACTCCTATGCATTAAAATAGTGATAACATTGGCTGTCTCAATGACTTTATTGATGCAAATTTCCGAGAAAAGAATGGTAGCTTCCTCTATGTGCCTTGTTGATTTTGGCGCCAAAAAATAATGCCTTTTTCCAAATATGTTTGCAAATACACACCTAAAAGCACCGGAGAGTTGGAAATAATTTCGCATTTTGCATCAAGACCGTCGATCACCGCAAAGCGTAAATTTCATTGTACCAACTTCTGGATGGAAGATCCGGAGTTCTTTTTCACTTCTCTCAGGAATCACTTATTTCGAGGGATTTTCATTCACATTATGGTAGTTACATGTAATTTAGTTACTAAGTGAGATCGAGAGTTCTCGATTTTAAATAACGTGTGAAAGCGAGCACTAAATATCCATTTTGACACAGTTCGTTCTCGTTCTACACGGCCGTTTCATTACTTTTGCCGCTGTTGACAAGTTGAGCCCGCTCTCTTCAGATTTTAGAACATTAATCCACGCGGACCTTAGAAGGCGCGAAGCACCTTCGAGGACTTGGGCCGCGTATTCCCGTGGTATATAACTGAGCAGTCCTGTGCCATTGCCATATTCTTTACCATCCACATGTACTCTTTATCCTTCATAGGTTTCGTGCATAACCTATCCGTGGAAGGTGGAAAAGGTGACTCCTATTTTCATGCCCGTGCGTTGAAGTCACTGAAAGTTGTCGTCGCAGGGATGAGTAAATCGACGTCACTAAAAATAAAAGGCGGACGCATTTGTGTCGAACGGAACAATGTATGCATTATGACGTGAGCCCTGTTATGCACATATTCTTATGGGTCTCAGGGCTCATGTCTTAATGCACATAGTTCCGTTTGATAGAAATACATCCAAATGTATCTCATATTGCGCGTATGAAAAAAGGAATGAAGTAAATACGCTGACGCTATAAACACCTAGACAAGAATTATTAGGAAGATAACGGCAAAGCCTGAAATAATCTAAATTAATAATAAAACAAATTATAAATAATAAGTCGGGCACCTTAAAAGCAGTACGGAAATTTCGAGCCGCAAACACACGCATGACTTGCATTACTTAACAAAATTTTTTTTAACAACAAACTTCGAAATGTAGCGTCATTACTCCGGTTTTGAGGAAACTTCTAAATGGACGAGTTATCTTATTTAATATATTTTGACAACATCCCTCCCTCTATTTAAATGTATGTAAAACAATCGATTCTTGCCTCACCTAAAATCGATACTTTTAATGGTTTTAAATGGAGGAAAAGTGAATCATCAATAAGAAATGGTTGAATGGCACCAAAGTCCTTCGTGGGTTTTGCCCTCCTAACAACTTCTCGCTGCTCCGTCCTGTCTCTAATCCTCTCTCTCCATCTTCAGCGTCCTTAAGTCGATTATACATAAGTCCCTCGCAAAACGGATTTATCATTTGTTTTTCCAATAACCATGTATGTGGAAAGTCCCAAAGATAAATTCACAGAGTTGAATTAATCAAGTATTGCACAAAACAAAGATTGCGGTGACCGGACGCGAAGCAAACTGAGAACTATCTCCTGATGCTTGACTGGCGTTGCAAGTATGGCAGTTGTGCAGTTTTAGCCACTTTTTTTTATATAAATCATACCAAGTGAAAATTAGTTTATTCATGACACCACGCCCAGCAACTGTAGACGATGTTACCATTTTTTCTAGCTCCTATTTTTTGTCGACGCCGCTATCATACCAGTAGTGCTAAATATTCTGACCCAACGTCAGACTCTTTGTCACATGGAGAAAAACACCTCTGTTCAATCGAAGAAATAGAAAGAAAAGCTGAAAATATCCGATAAGGAATGCAACATACTGTAACAGTGAAGATAAAATCTTCGAAAGAAATAAATAAATAAGCATGAAACCGCAAAATACATGTATGACCAGTTCATTCACCGTAGTTAATTTTGATGAATCTTAACTACAACTTTGAAAATTTGTTGAGAGAGATTCCAAAGTTGAAAGAGTAAGAAATGTGTGAATATGTCTCTACTTTAATAGGATAAAACCGGATCAATTAGATTTATCTTCGGTAATAATAATAATAATTTTAACTGTGAGAACGAGTTTGGGTGCGTCTCATTAATAGTGCAACTCATTAAAATGCCCGGCTAATTACCATTCACTGAACTCGGTGCTATGTCCGAATTTAATGCTTTTTTCGAACGTCGATCAACAACAACTTGGCCCCTCCAAAGAATTGCGCCTGTGCCGAACGGTGACATCGAACGGGAAAATGTCTTTTGCTAATCGTTTAATATGCACGTTTTGATCGTAAATATGCCGAGTCTGTTGAGCCACGCCAAAGCTTGGTCTAAGTCGATATTAATAAGTGACCTTTTTTTCACGATTTTCCTGTGCGTTTGGGTCTATTTATAGCGACTGAAAAATCGCATCAGTGTTTCTTGAACCTCGAAATGAGGCTGGTTGTGGTGAAAATCTCTTGACGTTAGTGGAAGTTTTGTTTTTTAGTGGTTAAACTGGAGAAATACGTTTAAAGGTAGGTTTTGAAAAGATTTCAGTCCATCTACCCGTCCATTTTGCATAAGTAGTACGATTCCATTTTGAAATTCAATACCCCCGTCGATAAGGTCAGTCTTTGTGAGTGCGCACAGCCCGGGGTCAGAGTGATAAGAAAAAAATGATTTCAAATTATCT